CCCCCGGCTGCTCTTCCCGGGTCTCTTCTGGGTCCCTCTAGCGGCGTTCCCCGGTCTGGCGGCCCTTCTGTCGTCTTTTGATGTTTCCTTGGCCATCCAATATTCTGCCCACAGCATCCTTAAGTACTGAGACTTGACTTTGCTCTTCACTTTAGAAATACTGATTGAGTTTGTCCCTTTTGATTTTCTGACTCTAGTTCTCTGCACATCTCCTTGTAATACTTTGCTTTGTATTCTGGAGCTGCCGTTTGAAATCTGTTGGCCTTTATGAGGAGGAACATGGCATGAGGATTGGAGGAAGACTCATCAACAACCTGAGTTATGCAGATGACACAACCCTGCTTGTCGAAAAGGCAGAGGACCTGAAGTGTTGTTACAGAAAGTCAAGGAGTGTAGTCTTCAATATGGATTGGAGCTCAATATCAAGAAAACAAAGATTCTCATCACTGGTCCAATTGCCAGAACCATGGTATATGGAGAAGAGATTGAGATTGTTAACAATTTCAGGTTACTCAGTTCCACAGTCAACACGCTTAGAACCAGCAGTCAAAAAAATCAAAAGATTAATTGCATTAGGAAAATCTGCTATCAAGGACCTCTCCACAGTGCTGAAGAGCAATGATGTCAATCTAAAGACTAAGGTGCATCTAACCCAGGCCATGGTCTTCAGTTACTTGTTAGGCATCAGAGAACTGGACAATGACTAAAGATGACAGGATTGATGCTTTTGAGCTGTGGCTCTGGAGACAAGTATTGAACATTCCATGGACTGCCAAGAGAACAGATTTGTCCTGGAGAGGGGGAAACCAAGTTGCTCTTTACAGGAAAGGATTTTGAAGCTCTGTCTCACATACTTTGGGCATGTTTCCTGCAGGAACCAGTCCTTGGAAAAGGACATGACGCTTGGCCAGGTCACCACAGAAAAGAAAGAGCCTGGATGAGATGGACTGACACTGTGACTGTGGCAAAGGGGACAGACGTGTCAGAGACGGTGACGCTGGCTCAGGATAGGACCACAGGGTTGCTATGAGTCGCAGAGGACTTGACAGTACATAACAACACCTTCGAGGGGCCAGAGAGTGTGGCCTCGAGGTCTTGTCCCTCTGACCTCACACAGCCACGCATGGCCCCACACAGTGTAAGAGTGACTAACAACACTGTGACCTTGCGCATCCCTGAACAGTCCCACGTGACCCCCCCATGGTCACACAGCCCTCAGCGCCTCCGACAGCCCTGCATAGCCCCCTGTGGCTTCACTTGGCCCTCTAAGGCCCCCCACAGCTCCTCATGGTCCCTAAGGACCTGTATGGCTCCCCAAAGCTCCCCATGGCCACACATAGCTCCATACAGCCCCTCACAGCCCCCTAAGGCCCAGGACGACCCCCCTCAGCCACACACAGCTCCACACAGCCCCCTACGGACCACATGTCCTCCCACAGCCCTGCCCAACTCTGCATAGCCATCTAAAGCCTCAGATGAACCCTAAGACTCACATGTCCCCCCACACCCCTGTAAAGCCCCCCTTATCCCCCAGGGCCCTGCACAGGCCCCCCCATGGCCCCATATGGTCCCTCATGGACCCCACGGTCTCCCCTCCCACAGTCTCCCATGCCCTCATATGGCCTCCACATGGTCCACCTCAGGCCCCTAGGGCTCTGCATGGTCCTACACATCCCTGCACTGCCCCCCACAGCCCTATAAAGCCCTGCACGTCCCTCATGGGCCACCAGGAACCCCCATGACTCTACACGGGGTCCTGAGGCCCCACATAGCTTTTGCACTGTCCCCCATGGCCCACATCACCCTACACGGGTCCTGTCAGGGTAGCTAACACTGCCGTGACCCCACCCCACCCCACACGGGCCCCGTCAGGGTAGCTAACACTGCCGTGACCCCACATGGCCTGAGGAAGGGGCTTCTCAGCCACAGGGCCGGGTGCTTCCTGGGCACAGGGACCCTGCCCTACACTTGCCCACTGGGTCAGGACACTGGTCATTCCTTCCCATGGGAGGACCCTGCTCTTCACCTGCCCACTGGGTCAGGACACTGGTCATTCATGGCCGTGGGAGGACCTTGCTAGCTAGGAGTCCCCTCAGGGTCTGAGTGGGGACCAGACCCCTGCTCCCCCCTCTGCCCCCATGAGCCACCACACCTGGCAGGACATACCTGTCCACTTTCCGGGCATCCCGGGTCTTCAACCACTCAGGGAAGGTGGACCAGTCACTGGAGGGACTCCAGGGCTCCTGTCCCACAAAGAAGTCAGGGACCACAGTGCTGTGGACACAGACACAGACAGACGCTGCAGAGTGAGGGCCAGCCACGCCGGGCCACCTTCCCAACACCACAGACTGAGGGGGAGCGGGCAGGAGCAGGACATTGGGCAGAGCAGGGGCCGGGGTGTGGGCAGCACTGAGACGTCAGGATGAGGGGTGGGGGCACTGAGTGGGGTCAGTCAGGGCGGACATCAGGCTGAGCACAGAGCTAGGGGCATGGGCAGGACCTGAGGTCAGGATGAGAGCCATCACGGTCAGGCTAAGCAAGGGTCAGGCGACTGACCAGGCAGGCTGGGCTGAGTGGGGGTCAGTCCGGACCAGGCAGTCAGATGAGAGGTGGTGGGGTTGAGAAGGGGTCAGGGGCTTGGGCAGGCCCACACAGCGGTGGCTCTGTAAGCTTGGGGTCCCCTTTGGGTCGCTTGGGGACCTGGGCTGGGCGAGCTGGACTCCTGCTGGGCTGACAAGCTCCGTGACGTGAGCATCAATGGATACTCGCTCAGGTGAGGATATCTGAGGCCCAGAAGGGTCACTCAGAGGCCCCGTGTCCTTGCTCTGGGTCCACAGGGGCCTCTGGAGGCTTGCTGAGTCACACAGGAAGGAGGTCCACGTGGGGGCTGTTGGCAGAAGCCAGGAGGTGAAGGGGCCTCATTACCTTCTGTGTGTTCAGGGCTCAGGTAAGCCCCAGTGTCACCACCTTGCCCGTGACCTTGGACTTGGCACACAGGTGTCAGGGCTGGTGAATCTCAGCTCTACTTGGTGTACCCTCAGAGTGACCCCAAGTCTATATCATGTACCCCCAAAGTGACCCCAAGTCTACACCGTGTACCCCCCAAAGTGGCCCCGAGTCTACACAGTATAACCCAAAAGTGACCCTGAGTCTACAGTGTACCCCAAAGTGACCCCAAGTTTACACAGTATACCCCAAAAGTGACCCTGGGTCTACAGTGTACCCCCTAGAGTGACCCTGAGTCTACACTGTGTACCCCAAAGTGACCCTGACGACACCATGTACCCCCAAAGTGACCCCGAGTCTACACTGTGTACTCCCAAAGTGACCTCGAGTCTACACTGTGTACCCCAAAGTGACCCCGAGTCTACACTGTGTACCCCACCCTCTTCCTGAGTCTACACTGTTCGGCTCTCAGTGATTCTGCGTCTACACTGCAGGATTAACATCCTGGACTTGGGGCTGGGCCTGGACAGAGTGTGGGTTCTGGGCCCCACCACAGATCCCTTTGCATCCACGGCGGGGCTCTGGGTTTGGGCACCCCCAACCCTGAATTTGGGTTTGCTGGTGTCTAAGTTGCTGGCCTCTCCCCTACAGGCGTCACCTGGTCTGGGAACAGGCTTTCCTGTGAGGGAGGCAGGTGGCGAAGCTGCTCCTGAGAAGGAGATTCAGGTGTGAGTTTAAGCCTGCAGAGGGAAGGAGCTGGGTGAGAGGGTGCAGAGCTGCAGGGAGTCCCCAGGGCGCAGGACAGCACCCCAGAGATCGGGACCCCCGCATGCCGGCCCTCGACTTCCAGCCTCCTGACTGCGAGTGAAAGCCTGGTTGTCAAAGCCACCCCTCCGTGGATGCCCACTGGGCACAGCATGGACAGCAGTCACCGGCCCCCGGGCACGCTGGATGCCCTTGGGCATGATGGGAAGTGGACGGCAGTAGTCATATGTTGGGCACACTGGGCACAGCATGGACAGCAGTCAACGCCCCCTGGGCACGCTGGACAGCAGGGGACACCCCTTGGGCACACTGGACGCCCTTGGGCACGGTGGGAAGTGGACAGCAGTAGACATACGTTGGGCACACTGGGCACAGCTTGGATGGCATTGGGAGTCCCTTGGGCACAGCACGGACGACACTGGACGCCCCTGGAGCACGCTGGGTAGAGTGGACGGCAGCGGGGCTGCGGTGGGACTTACGTGTAGCCGTTGGCTGCAATCATGTCAGCCATGTAGCGCGTGTTGGGGAGCTGCCAGCCGAAGATGTCCTGGATGACCACCACGGCCTTGCCCGTGTCCACGGGCGGCTTGCTGAGGTATGCCCTGATGTGCTCCACCTGGACCACACATCCCTGGCCTCCATACTCCATCCGGTGGCCGATGTCACACGGGCAGGGGGCAGCTTCGTTAGCCATGGCAGAGACCAGCGGCGGCTGGGGACAGAGTGGCAGGCGTTAGCTTCCTGGTGTGCACGTGAGCTGCAGCCCCGTGATGCACAGGGATCCGGGCAGGTGATCCCCAGCCCAGACAGGTGGGCCAGGAACGCTGGGCAGGTAACACCTGGACCAGGACGGCTGGGCAGGTCACACCTGGGCCAGGGCACCTGGGCAGGTCACATCTGGGCAGGTCACACCTGGGCCGGGACCATTGGGTAGGTCACACCTGGGCCGGGACCGTTCAGCAGGTCACACCTGGGCTGGGGCACCTGAGCAGGTTACACCTGGGCTGGGGATTCTGGACCAGTGATACCTGGACCAGGACACCTGAGCACATATAGCAGAACAGATGGAAATCCACAGTACAGCCGGATTTCCAAGACCAGATAGAGTCCTGTCTGGAGAGGAGCCCAAGAAAACGACACAGCCAGCAGACCCAAGAAGTGGTCAGCAGGACACGAAGCGGTCAGGAGGCTCAGCCAGGAGGACCACACAGCAGTCAGCCGGCACTCTTAACCCGCTGAGCCCCACCTGACCAGTGGAAGGTCTCCATGACCAGGAAGAGGTCAGCAGGCACAGGCAGCCAGACCCAGGAAGTGGACAGCAGGACCTGGGAAGTGGGCGGCAGGGCCCGGGAAGCGGACGGCAGGGCCCGGGAAGCGGTCAACAGGCACGCCCAGCGGGGCCACCCTGATGAGAGGACAGGACCACCCAGGAGAGCATCCTCCTCAGACAAGATACAGAAAGGCCAGCTGACCAGAAAGCTACGAGGCAGAGTGGGTCCCCGGGGGTGCTGGGACACGCAGCCTGGAGTGTCAGCTAGCCCCTCCCCAGCCAGCAGCCAGCCCTGTGGGGGTGGTCATCCGACCCACCCTCTACTAACCCACTGGGCCCTCACACAGACTCGCGCCCCACGGCGAAGTGACCGTGACACCCACCAGGCCAGCGCAGCAGAGACGCCCACGGCAGACCCAACACCAAGCAGAGCCTGATGGAGCGAGGTCCCTGCGGACCACCGAGAACGGCCTGCTTGGGGAGCCGCTCCACAAGTCGGCCGGCAGAGGCCTCGCGGGAAGGGACCCTGGTCAGCTGACTCCGGGGTCACCCACGTGCATGGCCCCACCCAACCAGTGGGCGGTCTCCCTCCCCCCACCGTCAGCTGACCCCAGGATCACCCACATGCACAGCCCCACCTGACCAGTGGAGGGTCTCCCTGGTCAGCTGACCCTGGGGTCACCCACATGCACGGCTACACCTGAGCAGCAGACGGTCTCCCTCCCCCCACCGTCAGGTGACCCCGGGATCACCCACATGCACAGCCCCACCTGACCAGCGGACGGTCTCCATGACAGCAAGTGCACTGCTTGCCCTGTGGACAGTGTCTGAAGAGCCAGCCCAAGGCCACTTCAGGGCCTGCCTGTCACCTGACCAAGATCTCAGACCGGCCAGCCCTACACTTGCTGGGCCTCAAAATAACCCTTCACGTCCCTGTCTATATATATCATGTGGGCTGGTTCCAGCAAGCACTGACGGGTTCACACCACACAGGAGAGGCCAAGGCCAGCAGGGACCCACACCCAGATCCTGGGGAGGCCAGGCCAGCGGGGACATGAGCACAGGAACTGACCTGAAGGACTGCTGCTGGAAGAAATGAAGCAGATTAACTCTAGGAAGGAAAAGGCACGTGGGCTGGTGCTGACCGAGCGGCCACACTCCTGCTGGTCAGCGCAGACAACGCCCGGGATAGCATTGCAGGAAACCAGCTTGTCCCAGTGCCAAGTCAGGGCCACCACTATGGGATGGCTCAGTGTACACCAGGAGGTGGACACAGGGCTGGGGCGACTGGCATCAGCACAGCAGAGTGGGACAAGGGGCCAGGCTCAAGGTGGGCTTACTACAGTCCATCCCTTGGCATTTGGCATTCGAAATACTAAAGACAAATGGAAATCTCTTCTGAATTGGGCAGGGGTGTGGTGGGCAGTCACTTCACACACAACTGGTGTCCCACATAATGCACAAGTCGCCGTGGGCACAGTCAGGCGGGCACCCGCCCACAGCTGACCCTCTGGGGGGTTTTCACGAGTAAATCTCTCAGGAGGGGCCTGCACATCTTTGTTCCCCAGAGCAGCTGGTGGATTTGAACAATGTGGGTTAAGGCTGGCAGCACGGCTCATTACCAAGGGCACGAGGGCCGCCTACTCCACAAGAAGGGAGACAAGAATTCAAGGTGGTGGTGGAATCATGCGTGGAGCATGACTCACAGCGACCCTGTGAACAGAGGATCTGAACCCTGGCCTGGCCTGTGCCGACCTCACACTTCCTGACACACAAGAGCCCATTGCAGCAGTCACCGTGTCAGTCCACCAGGTTGAGGGTCTCCCTCTCCTTCGCCGACCCTCCACCCTTCCCAGCACCATGTCCATCTCCAAGGAACAGCCTCTCGTAACAACGTGCTTAAAGTATGAGGTGAAGTCTCATCATCCTTGCCTCCAAACAGCACTCTGGCTGCACCCTCTCCAAGACATCTGTTTGTTCTCTTGGCCATCATGGGATGTTCAGTGCTCTTCTCCAACCCCACAGCTCAAAAGCGTCAAGTCTTCTGTCATCATTACTCACTGTCCATCTCTCAGATGCACAGCAAGTGACTGAAAAGACCATGAATCAGACACACCTTAATCTTCAAATTAACATCATTCCTCCTCAGTAATTTAAAAGAGAGAGGAATTAATAGCTGACTACTGGCTGGAATGTCCATTTACTCTGCTGTCTGAAGACATGGAAAGGCTCCCACCCACGGTGATGCGCAGGGTGTCCACAGCTAACCGTCTGAGGGCCAGGCCTTGCTAACACGTGTTCACCCTTTTTGTGTCCAGGAATCACTGTGAGCAGAAGAGCCCGGGGGCCCAGGACCATGGTGGACTCTGTGCCCTGCAGTCTCATTCCAATGCCCCCTGGCATAGGGCCACCTGTACCACGCCAAGTCTCACACACAGCCACTTCCAAGGGCCCACTGGCCCTCAGCACCAGGTCAGCCTCCCGCAGGATATGGTGTGCCCTGGGGAAGGCTGGACTCCTGCCCAGACCCTCACGTGGTGGGTGTGTGGGAATGAGTCCAGCCCGGTGTGCGGAGCAGCCACACACTGACCACATGCTCTGCTGACCAGCATGTTGGTCTTCAGTGGACACTTCTGGGTGCCTGGCCTTGTCCTTTCAATATGGCACAAGTGTTCAAAAGCAGTATTCGGGTCTGTCTCCCATAGTTCCTTTCAAGGAGGGCCCCTTGTCACTTTGAAATGTAACTTTCTAATAAATGCGTTTTAATGTTTTACCTTAAAAAGAAAAAAAAAAGACAATACTCAAATAAAAGCTGCACCCCAATGTAGACAGCTGAATGGACAGACATTCCGGCTCCAGAGAGGGGTGGGCACCAACTGGGCGGACCAACCGTGCGGGCTACATGTGCCCCAGCGCTGGACGCAGGTGGGGTTCACTTCCGGCCTGCACACCAGCATGGCGCCCAACAGTCTGCAGAGTGTCCAGGCCGGGTTGGCCTAGGAGGAAAGGCTAGCAGATCCACCGCCCACAGCCGGTCTACGCAGCCTGAGGGCCACTGCAGTGAGGTCACTAAGCAAGCACCAGGCACGTGTGACAGGGCACAGCACGGACGCAGCGAGAAAGGACGCTCAGCGGCACGCATTTATGGTACCAGACCACTCATGTGGATGCAGGGAAAGGTGTCCAGACAGCAACAATGGGGAGGGGTCTGCAGGGGGGAGACAGGGACAGGAGGGGAGGGTCAGGCGCCCAGACCTGATAAGAACAGAGCCTGGGGTCTGTGGAGGGGTGGGCGAGAGGGACAGGAGGGAGGGACAGGTTCCCAGACCTGTAAGGACAGCCCGACTGAGGGGACGCAGCATGCAGTCGGGGTTCAAGTTGTAGCTGCAGGCATGGACCGAGCGTAGCTGACCCCCCAATCGTGGCTGACCCCTGAGGATGGCTGACCCCTGAGCGTGGCTGACCCCTGGCGTGGCTGACCCGCCCCCCGGCGTGGCAGATCTCCCCCGTGTGGCTGACCCCCGATGTGCTGACCCCCCCATCATAGCTGACCCCCCCGTGTGGCTGAGCTGTGTAGCTGAAACCCCTGGCGTGGCTGACCCCCATCGTAGCTGAACCCCCATGTGG